AAAATACACACTGAGATGTTGCAACAAGCGGATGCAGCACTGGCAGTGCTCACTCGTCTATGCCAAGAAATTTGGAAGACAGCTACGTGGCCAAACAACTGGAAGAGATCCATATTTGCACCCATTCCAAAGAAAGGTGATCCAATAGAATGCAGAAATTATCAAACAGTATTATTAATATCACACACAAGTAAAATTTTGCTGAAGATTAGTCAAAAGCAGTTGCAACAGTACATTGTCAGGGAACTGCCAGAAATTCAAGCTGGATTCAGAAGAGGAAGTGGAACAAGGGATATCACTGCCAATGTCAGATGGATCTTGGCTGAAAGAAGACAATACCTGAAAGATGTTACCTATGTTTTATTGACTATGCAAAGGCGTTCAAGTGTGTGGATCATAACAAATTATGGATAACACTGCAAAGAATGAGAATTCCAGAATACTTAACTGCGTTCATGAAGAACCTGTACTTAGACCAAGAGGTAGTCGTTTGAACAGATAAAGGGGATACTGTGTAGTTTAAAATCAGGAAAGGTGTGAGGGTTGTATCCTTTCACCATACTTATTCAATCTGCAGGCTGAGCAAATATCCGAGAAGCTGAACTGTATGAAGAGGAATGTAGCATCAGGACTGGAGGAAGACTCATTAACAACCTGTGATATGCAGATGACACAACCTTGCTTGAAGCGGACTTGAAGCACTTACTGATGAAGATCAAAGACCACACAGCCTTCAGTATGGATTACACCTCAACATAAAGAAAACAAAAATCCTCACAACTGCACCAATAAGCAACATCATGATAAATGGAGAAAAGACTGAAGTTGTCAAGGATTTCATTTTACTAGGAGCCACGATCAACACCCATGGAAGCAGCAGTCAAGAGATCAAACGATGCATTACATTAGGTAAATCTGCTAAAAAAGACCTCTTTAAAGTGTTGAAAAGCAAAGATGTCACTTTAAGGACTGAGGTGTGCCTGACCCAAGCCATGGTGTTTACAATTGCCTCATATGCATGTGAAAGCTGGACAACGAATAAGGAATACCGAAGAATTGATGGCTTTGAATTATGGTGTTGGCAAAGAATATTGAATATACCATGGACTGCCAGAAGAACAACAAATTTGTCTTGGAAAAAGTACAGCCAGAATGCTCATTAGAAGCAAGGATGGTGAGACTTCGTCTCACATACTTTGGACATGTTATTAGGAGGGACCAGCCCCTGGAGAAGGACATCATTCTTGGTAAAGTAGAGGGTCGGTGAAAAAGAGGAAGACCCTCAACGAGATGGACTGACACAGTGGCTGCAACAATGGGCTCAAGCATTACAACAACTGTGAGGATGACACAGGAACGGGCAGTTATTTCATTCCACTGTACTTGGGGTTGCTATGAGTTGCAACTGATTTGATGGCACCTAACAACAATGGACTAACCTAGGAGATTCAATCTTGCATACTCCTCACAAGACCACAGGTCACAGACTAAATTGTTGTACCATCTATGGGCACAGTAATAGCTCTTCCTCCCAATATTATAGAAATTTGGTGATGGAAAATAAATTAGTCTTCATTTAGAGTATGTAAAACAGGTATCATAATAATTAGAAGCACTTAACAGGAGAACTATTTGCTATTAATTTATTCTCAAAGCTTATACTTTCTACTATGTTTGAATCCGCGGCAAGTCTATATTTCTTTGTTTCTACCTCAACTTCCATCTCTACTGATCAAAACCTAAGTTGCCATAGTTATCCACACGGCTCTGTAGCACTGCACACTCTGGTGGCCTACACATGGTGTTGGTTACTGAACATACCATTCAGTTGAGCTGAAGCAGCCCCACTCTAGAGGCACAGGTGGTTACATGTTTCCCTTCATCACGGGGAAGCAGATTTCCTACATGTGTAAACGGCACTTTGGTAGACACTACAGTTGTCTATGGCAGCTTTTCCTGATGCATTCTGACAAATATGTCTTTATCCTGATAGGAAACCTAGTCCTAAGGCTGAAATGTAACATTCTGCAGAGCCCCTGCTCTTGCCATCTTCTGGGGGCTGCCCAAAGCATAAAGAGGGATGGTATTAGGGCTGAGGGAGGTGTCAGTGACATTTATTATTCTTACTACACTCTCACAAACTATAGCACCTCTGTCAGGCACTAACTAGTCATTCTGCATAGCATTCTTGGGAGGAAGGTGAGCACTGGTATTCAGTTTTACAGAGACACTTTAGGTACTCGTGACTGCTTCAACCAGGGGCATAGAGGGTAATCTAGACAGGCCCATCCATCTGTGGCAAGAGCCCCAAGCCCTGATTCATGTGAGGAGTCACAGCAGCCTTCTTCCCTCCGTGACCACAGACAGGAAATGGACTGTGTTATGGACTGAATTGTGTCCCCCAAAAAATATGTGTTGTAAATCCTAACCCCTATATCTGTGTTTATAACCCCATTTGGGAACGGGTTTTCTTCGTTATGTGAATTAAGCAATATTAGTATAAGCTGTGTCTTAAGTCACTCTCTTCTGAGATATATAAGAGTAGAGTAAGCAAGCAAGCAAGTACAACAGAGGGGAAGCTACACATGATTGCCAAGGAACCTAGGAACAGAAGCTGTAAAGAGACAAGGACCTTCCCCAATAGCAGACAGAGAGAGCCCTTCCCTACAGCCCCTTTCTAAATTTGGACTTCTAGCCTCCTAAACTGTGAGAGAATAAATTTCTTTGTTAAAGCCACCTATTTGTGGTATTTCTGTTACAGCAGCACTAGATAACTAAGACAGACTGACATTAAGGTCATCCCACAGGAAAACCTGATGTGTAAACATGGAGACTCACAGAATGCCCAAGCCAGAAGGAGCATTAAGGAGCTTTGAGCCAATCCCTTTTTTCACTTCACGGTGAAGATGCTTCACAAATGATAACCTTCCTCCCAAAAATGCCGTGCAGAATAACTAATTAGTGCTTCACAGAGATGTGAGAGTTTGTAAGGGTGGAGTAACAATAGCTAATTATGTCATTCCCAACTGTCAGCCTGAATACCAGCCGTGCTATCCTTTAGGCAGCACCCAGAAGACTGCTGTGGGTTAATTCTACTACAGAACTCTTTCACTGCCTATCACTTTTTCTCTTATTTTTCTGATTTTGTGATCTTTATTTGAAACATATCCATTTAAATCTATCTCCAGGATCTCCGGTTCTGTTAATGTTTGGACAATAGATATGTTCCTTCATTACAGATTTGCTTGGCAACTGCTTTATTAATAGCGATTATTCTCCATTCCAGAGAGTTATGAAAGAACTGCAAATGCTAAGTGCTACTTTGAATGATATTATTTACCATTTTCAAGTAAAATGTTATAAATCACAGGCCTTATCCACAGATTTAAAATGCCTAGAAATTTCTCAAACATTTACTGGACAGCATCACTCATTATTTTTACAATCACAGAAACACAGTAAAACAAAAGAAAAAAATGTTTAAAATTCGTATGATGAGAGCCTAGAAATATACAAAATGCATATATTCATAGGCACATATGTACATTTGTATGTATGCTCATATACAGCAAAGTATGTATTTGTTTAGTCAAAATCTTCTAGTTTTTTCTATTAGCATGGAATAAATTGTTCTTGTCCTCAGCAGGTATGTAATCGGCTCGTTCCAAAGCTAACACAATAATATGCTGATCCTCAAAATATATCAGTCCTGAGAAGTTAAAACCCCACAAAAACCTGGGCTTGCTGACTTGGGTTATTTATTAGAGGTGTGCCTCCCTTCATACCTGTGCTGTGTAAATCAAGTCACATTTAAGTGTATTAGGGGAGGGATATTACTATGATGACTCACTTTGAAAGGAAACAATATATTTTCCCAGCCCAGGGGAAAAATGATTTTCTCTTTTGAGCGTCTCTAAAAGCATGATGAGCTCACCTGCAAAAAGACTATAGCTGCAATTCAGCCTAATAACAGCACTATTAGTCACACCTGTAGAAAACCAAGGGCGAAGAATGACTGGTACTAGGAACTCTGCAGCAGCGATTCCAACCAGTTCATTCTGGTTCCAGCTTCCACTAAGAATCTGAATTTCTAACCAGTTCCCTGCTGAGAACTTACGTTTCCATCCCAGATAGACTGTATCAGAATCTACATTTTAACAAGATTTCCAGGGGATTCTTATGTATAATCTCCTGGGAACTTGTCAGAAATGCAAATTCTCACCAAGGGTTGGAACCATCTAGTTCCAAGCCTTGCTCTAGAGTAAAGCTGGCACAGAATAATAATACCTATTTGGCTGGACTTTCAGATAGGTGCTAAGGGAAACTTAAAACTCTCCTTTCTGAGTCATGTGTTAATATATTTAGTAAGGCATTAAATACTTTAAGATTGATATTTAATACTGAAGTATACTCTTTTCTATTTTTATCATTTATCCTTGAGTTAAAGCAATGATTCTCAAAATGGGGTCCCTGGACCAGCTGTATCAGCGTCACCTAGCAACCTGTTAGAAAAGCAAATTCCTGGCTTCCCAGACCTACCGAATTGGAAATTGTGGGAGTGGCGCTCAGCAATCTGCACTGAGGTAAATTTGTACAGGGTAAATTTGAAAAGCACTGAGTTAAGGAAAAGGAGCTGGCGTGCAGTGGTTAAGGGCTCGAAAGGTCAGTGGTTCAAACCCACCAGCCGCTCCATGGGAGACAGATGTAGCAGGTCTCCTTCCTTAAAGATTTACAGCCTTGGAAACCCTATGGGGCAGTTCTACTCTGTCCTACAGGGTTGCTATGAGTCGGAATCTACTGGACAGCAGTGGGTTTGGGAGCTAAGGAACCAGTAATATGCAGATTCCAAATGCCCCTTCCTCAATTATAACTCTCAAGATACTCTATTAAAAGAAAGCAATTCATGTGCTTTTAGGCTATTTGTTCTTATTGCCTAAGACAATTCTTATGATACATTTACCATTGTTAGTTTTGGAAAAAAAACCTTAGCCACAACTTACATGTAATTTTTCCAGGTCCTGTGCTAGCTTCGAGTCTTAGGATGCAGGGAACTGGGCGAAGGGAGAAATGAGAAGGCTACAGCAATCCATTCAGACATGGACCCCAAAGCTTTGTGGGGCAACCTTGTGACAGGTCAGTGAGTGTCCACCTATTTGGAGAGGAAAAATTGTCAATTAGCAAAGTAAACCTTGCATGCTAATGTTTTCCCCTCCTTCTTGCTATCCCTTCTATACTCCCATCCCCCCCCACCCCAGTCTGCTTTTATGACCTCTAAACTAATTTACAGTGCCTCTGGCTGTGTTCCCCTTGACTAATCCATATAAACAGAATATGACAAACTAGTCCATGGTATTAAAAGCCTCATGCTCATGTGGAAGCCCTATTCCTTTAGGTAAGAGTCCCTCACAGGGTACTCCCCTGAATTTAAAAGCAGCTCAGAGGCAGGTCAGGGTCCATTCAGGCATCCCCTTCTCTATCTCATCTCATGGGTGTTTTATTTCAACAAATCAGAATGTCTTGGCTTAAGAGACACCTGGGACCATGGTAACAAGAAGTAAAGGAAAGTAAATGACTTATTTGGGAATTCTGACTGAAATGAGGTGATTCTCTGGTGCCTCAAATGTGTTCATTTTTAAAATAAAAATATATTTTTTCCAATGATAAATCAATATATGTTTATTGTAGAACATGTGGAAAATACAGACAAGCATAAAGAAAAAAAAATCACCTATAACCTTGCCACTGATAAGATCACTAATAGTATTTTGTTGTACAGGTCCACAACCTCTTATCTGAAACTCCTGGGGCCAGACATGTTCCAGAAAACGGAATTTTTTGGATTTTAGAGTATACTGTGGTGCATATCCCATATATTACATAATACTCCATCAAAGCCTGGAGCAATACCCTGTAATCAAACACATTAAATAATTCTGCAGCAAAACATATGCATATTTTTATTATGTGGGCTAAAACAGAGACTATAAATAGCCCCACATCCGTTCAGGCCAGTTTTTTCCTACCAAATGTTATTTAAAAAAAAAAAAAGAACTTCAGATTTCTGGACTCAGAATTGGGGATAAGGGATTGTGGATCAGTATTCCTTTCAGAAGGGAACCCTGGTGGCGGCGCAACAGTTAAGCAGTTGGCTGCTAACTGAAAGGTCAGTGGTTGGAACCCAGCAGCCGCTCCTCGGGAGAAAGATGTGGCAGTCTGCTTCTGTAAAGATTACAGCCTTGGAAACCATATGGGGCAGTTCTACTCTGTCCTACAGGGCTGCTACGAGACAGAATCGAGTCCACAGCAATGGGTATCTCCTTTCAGATACACAAACTCAGAAAGTTTTGTTCGTGCTTTTTCATTTAATGCTATACAAATGTGAGCATTTTCCCAAGTTATTAAAAATTCTTCAAAAATATGCCTTTTAATGTCCATGTAATATTTACATACCGTAGAAATGGGGCTCATTTATTTAGCTATTTTTCTCATTGTTGGAATTAGATTTTTGTTGTTGTTATTGGAAATAACACTTTCAATATCAGACTATCTGAATTTCTGAATCTTTTCTTAGGTAGAATTATAAAAAAAGAATTACTGGGTCAAACGGTATGGACTTTAAGGGTCTTGATGACTTTCCAGAAAGGCTGTACCAATTTACACGCTGTCAGCAGCATGAGTGCCCAGGTAATTTGTTTAATAATCCCCTTTATCATAGGCACAGTGAAAATGCACTTGGCAGCTAACACATCTTAACAAATTCTAATTAGTGATGGCCACACTTAGATTTTACTTTTGTTTTTCTTACACAGAGATAGTGAGTATCTCCCTAGTTTTCATATAACAAGAGAGAAATGGGATTAATGTAATTTCACTATAAAATCACTCTCATTAAGCCAGACTGGATCAGACGTGGGCAATGCTGGGAGTTACCACTTGCCTATGGGGTCTATTTAACATGGAAAGGGGTGTCTGGCAGAATGAAAATAATTCACACATCATCACAAGAAGAAAAACAATTAGCTGCTGATTATTTGTGGGCTGATAATTTAGCTTTTGGACTACTGAGGACTTCTGTTTCCTTTCCTTTTGGTATTTTCCTATTGCTTGCATGCCCATCTGAGAGCAGAAAGAGACGATGCGAAGACAAAATCAAACTAGACAAGCTAATAATGATGGCTAAAGCTCATGAGTGCTTATGATGTGTCAACTGTACACCAGGTGCCTTGTATGCATTATCTCATTCAATGCTAAGTGCTCTGGTATAAAATCTGGTGGCAGAGAAGCTTGAAAGGATGCGTTTGTTCATCAGCACCCCCCCACCCAATAAGTTTGGAGGACCAGAGGTTTGGAATTTCAAAGATTTATTCAAGCCTAGTGTCTCATAACCTTGATGACTTAAGTCTGGCTACAAAACATAAACTTTGCCTTTACACTCTTGGTAGTGCCATCCACAGCATCTATATGAAGCAGGGAAAACAGTGTAAATAAAATCGAAGAAAACTCTAGATAACAGTAAACTCTTTGAAGGTCCTATATCTCGACAGGAGGGAGGCTGTATCCCTTAGGGCACAATAGAGTGTTGAGAGTCTATTTGATATACAACACAAAACAGGTTTTACCCGGAGAAACACACGAAAACACACACAAAATATGTGATTTAAAAAAAAAACCAACAACATACAAATACATTCTTCCCAAACATGACTGCAAATTTGTAATGTTAAAACAGGACTCTTAACCCAACATTTCTTTTCATTTGTAGCTTTTTCTAATAATTTTTCATTCTCTTTCCCCTTTATATATATTTAACCTTACAGGATAATTGGTGTAGAGAACACCATAATTTTCATAATTCTAAGAAAAGAAAATTGAGGAGACATTTCTTTGTTACATGGAGTGAAATACTCTTTCCCTCATCTAAAAACTCAATTTTCGAACCTAGTATGTACTATAAAATGGCTTAAGTTCAAAGAGACAGAGAGTCAGAGAGATAGAGAGACAGGTAGAGAAATAGAGACAGAAAGACGGAAAGAAGGAGGGAGAGGCAGGGAGAGGAAGAAGGAGAGAGGAAGAGGAGAAGAGAGGAAGGAAGAAAGGAAGGGTGCAAAAATATTTCAACTTTATTTTGAAAGTGAGTTAAATTGATCTTTTTCCAATAATTTTATCTAAAAGTAAGGGTTGTTTCTATCAAAATGATACAGACAAAAAAACAAAAACGAAACAAACAAACAAAAACCGAAAAAACCCCAAAGATGTATCAAGAAGTAGACCATTTTTTGCACTGTGGCAACTCTTTCTAATTTACATAGCATTCTCTGGACAATTAGGTATCAAAGTGAGTAGAATGGCTTATAAATGATTTTTCTTTGCCAAACTCAGATATATGGTTTATTTTCCAAGCACACCAGGACTACAGGGTGTGAAAAATGGGGTGGTAATAGAGGAAATGATCCCTCAAAGAACATACTTTGTTTTTCCCAAAGGGCCTAATTGCTTGGGAGAGAAAATACAAAAAAACCAATCACTAACTACAGCACAAATGATTACCAGAAGCTTTTTAGATACTCAAACTGCACAACTAGCATTTGTAAAGCTAATTACAAATTCGGATTCTCTCATTTTAAAAATATACTTGGAAGCAGCCCACTTCTGTTTTAATGCTGAACTAAAGTCTGTGCAATTGGCACATTATCAAAGTAAAAAAAAAAAAAAAACTCTTGAACAAAGTTTCCATTTCCAATGTCACTAAATCCTGAACTGCAAAATACCACAAGCTAAAAACTAGTCATGCGGCGTGGTTGTATAATCTTACATTTACAAAAGAGTTTTCAAAGCCCTCAGAGCCTTAGACCTTTGCTACTCTTAGTAGCTCTGACGTCTCTGACAAGCCACTCAGTGTCTCTAAGCCTAACATGGCTCACTAGTTTTTGTGAGAATTAAATCAGAATGTATAAAGGTGTTTTTTCTTTTTTTTTTGCAAACCATAAAACATACATAAAACACTGGGTATCAGTATTATTTTTACTAACACTTTGTGAGGCATAAAGATGTTAATCCCCATTTTACATTTAAGGAAACAGATACAAGAAGACAGCAAGAAAAAAAAAAAAAGTACTGAGTTAGAAGATTTGGGTTTTATTTCTGAATTGGCCACAAATTCTCTGGGACTTGATTTCTTCAGTAAAATGAGGGAGCCGGATGAGATGATTTTAAGGTCTTGAGGCCAGTGGTTCTGTGATCTTAGACTTGGCCATTGGAGTGATGATGCAGCCTTGGAAAGACTCTCAGGAAGCAGTCCCTCATAGGAGGCTGAGGCACAGTCAAGCCAAGGCCAGGACCCACCAATCCAAGACCTGAAGAGCTGGGGCAGGGTCCTTGAGCAGCCTCCCACCCCAGGGATGGGACAGGCATTAACTAACCTTTAGCTGCTGGATTGAGCCGAGGTTGAGGGAATTCTAGGTAAATGGCCAGGGCCTCTGGGGCAGAGGAAGGAGGTACTAGAGGAGCTTGAACTAATAGCTCTTTATTAACTGATACAGATATTTCACTATTTTAACAACTAGTGTAGCCAAACAAGTATATGTCAACCAATGTCAGACTTGCTAACAGCCCCACTGTTGTTTGGCTATCAGTTTTAAAAAGATAATTACCTCTGCGGGTCACCTACCCTCCTTGTTTGAGTTTCTAGTGTAGAGGGAGATGTGTGAAGGGGCTTTTTTTTTTTTTTTTGGTATTATGAGTGTGTATCATGGTCGCATGAGAATTTCACTTTAAAAAGATCGAGGCCACTAACTTAGGGCTCTACTAATGATACTTTACCAGAGCTGTCCAATACAACTTTCTGTGATGGTGGACATATTCAGTATCTGCACTGTCCAATATGGTAGCCACCAGCCACATGTGGCTACTGAGCACTTGAAATGTGACTGATACACCCGAGGGGCTGAATTTTTAATTTTAATCAATTTAAAATTCCAATTTACATTTACATTTAAATAGCCACATGTGGTTACTGGACAGTGCAGTTCTAGGCTGCCTCACATACTAATTTTCTTAGATGTCTTTCAGACCCTAGAAGCCCACAGGACAAACCGCAACACATTCATTCAACCAGTATTTACTGGCAACCTCTTGGAGCTAGGCACTATT